GTGCTAACTACTCAGCCACCGTGCCACCTATGTTGTCCATGAATCAGGTCTCCCAGGTGACAGCGGCCCAACGGACATTCTGGACTACCCTCTTGGAAGCGCCGTCATTCACACTAGACCGGTCAATCCCGCTACTCTGCTCCTGATTTCAGAGGACCAAAGGGGGTAGGAGGGGAAGAGACCAATGATGTTGAAATGATTGTGTAGAAATTCTGCAGCATTTAGATGAGGCAGCTCGGGCAGCAGGAGAGGCTTTGCAGAATCTGGACTTAGTCCTTTTTACAGATGGCTCTTTGTTTGTTTAGAATGGCATACAGAAAGCAGGCTGGGCCATTACCACCTTACACGAAGTGGTAGCGCAAGGCAGCTTGCCTGTGGGCACCGCAGCACAACAGGCGGAACTATGAGCACTTACAGAAACCTGTAAATAGCGGAGGGAATAACTGCAAATATTTATAGAGACTCGCTATGTGTTTGGAATAGCCCATGATTTCAGACCCTTGTGACAGAAAAGGGGATTCCTTACAGCAGCCAGAACACCAGTCTGAAACGGGGATGAAATATGAGACCTTCTTAATGCTATATAATTGCCACAAAAAGTTTCAGCTTTGAAATGTAAAGCTCATACCTGACAGAACACCATGGAAGCACTAAGCAATGTCTTAGCTGACCAAGGGGAACTGCTCTAGTGGATCAACAAAACCCAAAATACAAACCCTCACAAACAAGTTACAGGACTTAAAGATAACACAGTGTGGAGCTGGAGGTGCACAGCAGGTCAGGCAGCATCCGGGGAGCAGGAAAGTTGACGTTTCAGGTTGGAACCCTTTTTCAGAAATGGGGGACGGGGATGGGAGCTCTGAAATAAATAGAGAGAGGAGGGATGGGGATGGTGATAGGTGAGTGCAAGTAGGGAGTGGTGGGGATTGGTCAGTGAGGTGGGAGGAGCGGAGGACTTAAAGACCACGTAGGAACAATGCTCTCAAGGAGAAGCAGACATGGATTGAAGCAGGGATTAAGTTATGGGAAAATGGTGTCTGGAGGCAAAGAGATGCAGATAAACCAGTTGCTCCCGATGGGGAGTCCTGAGTAGTACAGACTCGGATCAAGGGACTCATTTTGCAGGTGTAGTGTGCCAGGAAGTGTGCAGACTGCTGAAATATTAAGTGGGTCTTGCACTGCCCTAATCACCCTCAGTCATCAGGACAGATGGAACTCACAAATCGAACTCTGAAACGATGCCTAGCTAATTATCATCAAGAAGGATTGCCTTGGCCTCAAGATCTACCTCTGGTCCTATGTAGCATTCAAGCCACCCCAAACAGAACCACGGGCCTGAGTCCTTTTGAGTTGATAACTAGCCAACCCATGTCTTTATCTGGCACAGGAGACCTTACGGCAGTGGATTGCTATTTACTAAGTGACTCTTTGTTAAAATAATATCAGGATCTAACCAATGCTGTCAGTTCTGCTTCCCAATAGGTGTCAGTGGCTTGGGGAGATCTCCCTGAGGGCAGACACAATAAAGGCCCCGGAATGTGGGTCTACAATACGAAAATACATAAAGAGCCACTGGGTGCCAAGTGGGAAGGGCCATATCGAGTTTTCCTTGCAATAGCATCAGCTGTCAAGGTACGAGGCAAGAAAGCTTGGAATCACACATCTCACATTAAGACAACCAAGGCCCCCGATCCATCATGAAGATGCTGTTACTTTTATGACTCATGACTACACAGATCACCCTTGCAGCAGGGTTCTTCTTGTGAACTCATTGTAAACACCTTCTGGTATATGTCTTATGTTTATGCTGAGCGTACTACTGTCCCCAGCTGCTGGGTTTGCTTTCACATTCCCATACATTCAAAGGGCAGTATCCCCCGAGACCCATTCCTTTTAATATGCCTGAAGTGGCAGAATGGGTCATTCACTAGAACGAATCCCTAATGGCTGGTGCTTGCACGGCTGCCACATCTTCTGCAGAGAGGCGGATATATTGGGTGGACACTGAAGGCACCCGAAACAAGTAGGAATCAGCAGGGTACAGCTTTTCAGCATTTGAACGTTGGTATCAACCTCAATTTAATACCTCCCATACCCCACCATTTGTCACTATCACTAATACATCAAGGGTAGGAAAACTGGTACTTTCTATTTGCATCACTAGATTTGAGCCTAGGGATTGGTTTGCAGGTCACAGTAATTGTACCCAATATTTTAATGTCACACCTGATGCTTAGCCTCCAGGTAAACTTAATTTTATTAACCTCACATCAGCGGGAACTTTTGACCATGTCTGGTTTTTTGACTATATAACTTGGTTTGTCCCATACAATGGCATGTATTCCGATTGTGGATACAAAGCATATGCCTGGTTGCACCACCACCACCAGCATCTACCCCCCACCCCCGCCACCGTGGACAGGCTCCTTGCGTTTGTAGTCCCATTTACATGTCACATTTATGACCTCTCTCACTCGACGGTATATAAATGTGCCATCACAGAAAACAGAACGATTCTTTGCTATTCTGCTACCCCTGTACGGAACCGCCAAGCTAGCCAGAGAATCTATCAATTAGGCAGCTATCTGAGAATACATAGCCAATGACACCTCTCAGGCCCTTGGTAGGATTAATGTGAAATGATTGCCCTATGATCTACCTCTATACAGAATTGTATAGCTCTGAACTGGATCTCAGCGAAGAAAGATGGCAGCTGTGCCCTCATAGGTCAGGAATGTTGCACCTATATCCCTGATAACTCTGAGGAGATAATTGACTTGGTTGACCATATCCATGACAAACTTAAACAACCCCCATCTTTGATCCTGTGGAGCTGGGCAACTGGCTGGTTGGGATCATTGGGTACGTCAATAGAGCAGGGCACCATAGTTTGTCTTTTCGTAATTGCTTTCATGTTGCTTAGATGTTGTATTCAACAACTGCTAAGGCCTAAAGTTCGATATGTTGCAGTTCGCCAATGCCCTAAGAACTCTACATATTATTTTTAGCTTGCTTTGCTTGCTTGATTCTGTTTGGGAAGAATCAAAAGTGAGAAAATGTGGGGATCGAGGAAAACAGCTTATCTGACTGAGTTAATATCATATAATAGTTAAATTTGTTTCTGCTGCTAATAGGGTTGAGTGACATATAATAAAGCAGCTTAACTGGTTGAGTTAATATCATATAACAAGTAAATTTGTTTCAGTTGGTAATAGAGTTATGTGATAAACAGAGTGTTGAACAGCTTAACTAAGCACGTACACAATTACTACAAACCGAACCTAAATGATGTTGCAAGGGTTCAAGTCAAGTGATTTACTGATGGAATGTCATGTTGTAACTTGCTTATTGTGTTGCTGAGGCTTAAAAACGAAATGTAATTTGATAAAACTATCAGCATCTTAATGTTTAAAAATGCATGTCGAACCTAGAATTAACGCAGTTATACTCTTATTCTCGGCAACCAGAATGTAACTGTTATTGCTTCTTAATAAAATTCCTCAAATTTTTACCTATTGACAACTGGTTATTCTAAGAAGAAAAAAGAGAGTATCTAGCAAATCCAATATGAGCAGATCACTCTATGGATTGATTCAAAGTCATTTTCAATCATTTAAAATTGGGTTATTCACAGGGAGTGACAAACTTGTCTTTAGTTTTATTTATTAAATTGCATCAAGTTATTACCATTGAATACAGATATATTTTAAAATAAACTTTTAAAAAAGAAAAGTTACATTTAGAATGTTGCCCAGTCGTGCTGGCTCATGGCAGGTTCTGAGTGGAAACTTGTAGAAGAAAATTTTCTTGGTGCTGTTTCTTAGAGATTATGCAATTTTAGAATGGAATAGAATCCATAGAATAGAGTCCCTACAGTGTGGAAACAGACCCTTTGGCCCAACAAGTCCACACCAACCCTCAGAGCATCCCACCCAGACCCATCCCCCTATAAATGCACCTAATCTACACATCCCTGAACACTATGGGCATTAGCATGGCCAATCCACCTAACCTGCACATCTTTGGACTGTGGGAGGAAACCGGAGCACCCAGAGGAAACCCATGCAAACACGGGGAGAATGTGCAAACTCCACACAGGCAGTCACCTGAGGCTTGTATCAAACCGGGTCCCTGGTGCTGTGAGGCAGCAGTGCTAACCACTGAGCCACCGTGCCAATCAGCATCAGAATCACCGATTTGGTAAAATTGTGGACATTTTAGCTTACATAACTTTATACATCCAAAATTCAACAACAAGGAGAGACAAGGGATCAAACAGAAACCCTCACTGTTAAATTTAGTTCAGCAGTGACATTACAAGCCCACCCAGGGCTGGCTAGACTTCTGAAAGCAGGAAAATAAGCACATTTATCATACTGTGGCTTAAGATAGGAATTACATAATGCAGCTTATTAAAAATAACATGAGCATGGATAGAGTAAACTGTAATATTTTTCAGAATCCTTTACCCATGCTCCTAACTCCTCTGGTGCAAAATAATATACTGTTCAAAATTTCACCAACTTGACCAATAGTAAACTCAGTGACATAAATTACAATTGGATTTCTTTAGATTGAGCTACCGAAGAACTGCTGCACTTGGGATTGTGCTCCGGTGACCCCACAATTCCTTTTAGTCTTTGAAGTTTAACCAGAACAAAGGAACTCTCAATATTTGCTTGACAGCTTTATGTAATATACTCCCAATTGCATTTGGAAACCCCAGCTTAAATATGTTGATTGAGTGCACTACCTTTTCATGGTGGGATGTCCTTCCATCTGCTGTTGGAAAGAAAAAGCTTGAACAAAACATGTTGAGAGTATTTTATTTTGATGAGTAATTTCCCATTAAGTGCACACCTTCCACTGCTGCTCATTTACCTCTCTGGAGGGTTAATATCGAGGCCAAAGGCATGGAAGGCTTATATAACAGGTGTTGAACCAAGATATCCACTTATTTCACAATACCTAACCTGAGGAGAGAAGCAGGTTGTACTTACCCGATGGTGCTATAGGTCAGAAGTCTATCCTCTCACATTCAAGATTTTGGACTGGTTCAAGCAACAGGTGAAAGGTCGTAGTGCAGCTGTAGGACGTGAAAGAGGATCAGTCAACCTGAAAGCTGTTCTTTATGAGTGAGAGCATGATTCGGCATGAGTTGAATTCTAATACTCAGAATGAAGAACGGTGTGAGAAATGGATGATTTTGTTGCAGTGGAGTGTGTCATTGCAGAGGCTGAGATTAAGGGCCATAATTGGGGCAGCGCAAAGAAAACATCTTAGGATAGAAATTCATCTTGTGTCATGGCAAGAAATGGATGATACCATCATTATACATGGCACCTGAGGTTCAGCTCTATTGTAGTCAATGGAATTTAATATCAGACATTGTGCGGAACATGAGGCCGATTAGATGTTACTTGTTTTGTGACACTGACTGACTTGAAATTCCAGCCCTTAAAATGGGACAAGAGAATGATGAACATTCAGTTACCGAACTCAGTGAGAAGGTTTTTTTTTAAAGCACATCTATTTCTCAAAAGAGAAATGAGTTGTCAAATAATTTTGTACAATATCTTAGCAACAAAGAATTAAATGAATGCAGGTTTTCCTTTTACTGGACTAAGGGACCCTCTGCATAGAGGAAGGTTGAATTGGCAGATAACATGACAGAGAATGCCACATTACGTTTATGTAATAAAAGATGGCAAGTTCTATTGTGGGCATGAGATTCTCCTTGCCCCTGCTTACTTGATGCACTGCATCTGGGGTTCTCCTTTACATTCAAACACATTTAGTGAAAAAATAATGCCTCTACTATTTCTAGTCATCCAACAGCTAAATCTCCTGAAATGCCAAGTACTGGAAATAATTAATCAGAGGATGGCTAAGGTGCCAGGCGGGGGAGGTGCAAGTGCACTAGTGAGGTGAGTAGAAGATGAGTGTGTTTTTACTTCTGCATGGGATGTGAATATTGTTGCACATTTTCACTCTTGAATCAAATGGCTTGCGCTGCCATTTCAGAGAACATTTAAGATTCACTCACATTGTTAGGGGTCTGGAATCACATGTAATCCAGACCAAATAAGGACAGCTGAGTTTCTTCCCTAAAGGATCTTAGTGAACCAGATTTCTTCTTTTACAATCACTAATGTTTACATGGTTTCCATTAAATGAGCTTTCAATTCCAATTGTATTTGCATTTTAACCATCTGCCAAGATGGGACTCAAACTCATGTCCCCGCAACATTCACCTGGATTACTAGCCTAATGACACAACCACTGTGCCACAGCCTGCAGGAGGGCTAAGGTGGCAAATGGGTGAGGCAGTTAGGGGACCAGGTGGGCGAGGGACACAGGCATACTTGATATGTATGTCATATCTGGAATGATCTTCAGAAAAGTTGTTAACTCACTTTTGGTCACCTGGGAATACACCTTAAACAGATCTTCCGATAGGAAGATAGTTGTTGCTGCGGAGTAGTCTGGAATTGTGTACTAGGACATTCTGGAAGTCCAAGCTGATTCTATGGGAATTGTCGAGGAAGTTGAAACTTCAGATGGGCATTTACCTAGTGTCTGGAATGTTTTAAAATATGTCCACACCTAGTAGAGTGGGAGACATCGGATAATTCTGACTGATTGAAGCTTAATAATTGCAAAGGAAAAATGAGAGCGTTAAAACCTATTTTAACTATGAGGTAACTATTAAGATGGTTCCCCCATTCTTTTGCATCTGATACCCCTGTCCCTCACCCACCTGGCACCATATCAGGTCAAAGAAAGCACAAATTGCACATCACAATGTAACTTTAATCAATTCACAGCAAATGCTCAGATGATTCTCAGATTATGGAATACATCAAGGGCACAGAATCTCTGAGTTTAAACAGAGCACTGTTTATTGGTAGCACTCTCGCTGTTCAGTGTCAAGGTTCTAGATTGAAGTTCACTCCAAGGCTTGGGCAAAATAAACAACACTGACAGTCCAATGCAATACTGATGGAACACTGCATTGTCTTAGATTCTATAATTCGGATGTGACATTAAATTGGGACTCAATCTAATTGTATCTAATTGCTTATACAAGATTCCATGGCACTATTTGGAAGAAAAGCAAGGCAGTTATTCCCTTTGTTCTGGTCAATATTTATCCTCGATCACATCCTAAAAATAGATTGTTCATTATCACACTGTTATTTTGCTGTGTACATATTGGATACCATGTTTCCTACATTGCAATAGTATACAATTCAAAAGTACTTAGAGTCATAGAGTCATAGAGCTGCACAGCATGGAAAAAGCCCTTTGGTCCAACTCGTCCATGCTGACCAGATATCCTAAATTAATCTAGTCTCATTTGCCAGCATTTGGCCATATTCCTCTAAACTCTTCCGATTCATATACCCATCCAGATGCCTTTCAAATATTGTAATTGTATCAGCCTCCACCACTTCCTCTGGCAGCTTATTACATATACGCACCACCCTCTGTGTGAAAAAAGTAGCCCCTTAGGTCCCTTTAAAACTTTCCCCTCTCACCTTAAACCTATATCCTTCAGTTTTGGACTCCCCTAACCTGGGAAAAGACTAAGCAAAACTGCAGGTGCTGGAATCCAAGGTAGACAAACAGGAGGCTGGAAGAACACAGCAAGCCAGGCAGCATCTGAAGGGAAGGAGCAGTCAATGTTTCGGGTATTACCCTTCTTCAGGACTGGATTTGGGGGTAGGTGGAGCTGCAAATAAAGAAAACGGGGGAGGGGTGGTAGTGGAATGGTGGTGATAAGGTGGACAATGGTAGCATGTACAACCTGGTTGGTTGATGGGAGGGATGAATCCAGTTGGTGGCTGGTGACCCTCCCTTCCTTCTACTAACTGGATTCATGCCGTCCATTGACCAACCAGGTCATACCTACTATCAATGTTCACCCATCACCACCATTCCCCTACCAACCCTCCACCCCTCCTTGTCTTTATTTGCAGCTCTCCCTACCCCTAGATCCAATCCTGAAGAAGGCTAATACCCGAAACATTGACTGCTCCTTTCCTTTCCAGATGCTGCCTGGCTTGGTTGTTCTTCCAGCCTCCTGCTTGTCTCCCTGGGGAAAAGACTGTCTGTTGGTCATAACAAGACTTCATGTGGTTCTTAGTTTTAGAGGCTAAGTACGCTATTGTATGTGGCAGAAAGTAAAGATTTGCATTTATATAGTGCTATTCATAACCAGTCTTGTCAAAGTGTTTTACAGCCAATAAAGTTACTTTTTAGTGTATTGACTGTTGTAATGCATGGAATGCAGCAACTAATAAGTACCCAGTAAATTTCCATATACAACAATATAATAATGAAAGATTTCTTTTTATGTTGTTAATTAAGGGATTAATTTTGGCCGGGATACTAAAGATAACTTTGGTTCTCTTTGAAATGGGATCATTTGCATTCTTCCAAGTAGACAGTTTTGGCTGTTGTTTAACATTTCATCAAAAAGACATTACCTCTGACAGTGCAGCGCTCCCTCAATACTGTACTGGTGTGTCAGTCTAGATATATAGATTCTGCGGTGTGACTTGAATTTGGAACCTTGCCACTCAAAGGCAAAAAAAATTGAATGAGATGAAAAACAAGTGAAATTTTACATGTTTCCCAATTTTGTGCCTCCAAGGATCATGCATTCCTAATTGGAAAAACCTACCCTGGAAGGCATTGTTGACAATTTCCGAAAGCTGGTTAAAATTGACAGACTTGGCATTCCTGTTATCCACTGCAGTGCTGATAATTTAAAATTCCTAAATTTGAGTATTTCTAATGTTTGTAAACATTTTGTAGATGCATATTTAATTTTAAACAAACCGGTTTATTTATCATAAATTACAAACAGTTACACAGTCAAGGCTTTAGGTTTAACACTTTCTGGGTACTTTGAAAGGAATGATGGTTAAGGCAGTGGTGATTAAGCAGTTAAATGGGTAATCCAGTTTTGAATGTGTTATGCAGAGTACAAACACCATTTTTGTTCAATGTGCTGTTGAATTGATTTTGCAGATGTCATTTGCTTTGCTTTTCCCACTTCAGCTTCCTCCAAAAGCCTGAGATGATATTACACAGACCACTGCAATGCCACCAAAGTGCAAACATGAACTAATATGGTGTAGAAGAATACGTAAATGAATTTGGTGAGTTCAGCTCCTGATTATGCACCGGATGTCAAAAACATGCTGTGAATAGGAAATAATTTACAATTCGTGAAGCAGGCTTTCTTTTCACTCCATAGAATCAAGAGACGCAGGGAGGGAGAAAATCAGGATAACAATCAGAACTGGGGCACATTATGTCAATGCAGTCTCAGCTTTTTAAGTACAAACTTTGCATTTGTTCATAGGGTTCTTATGGTTGTTGGCCAAATCCACAATTGCATATTTCCTTAGACTGAGAAAATTACATGATTTACCAATAACCCATAGAGTGGTTATCCTTGTAATTATATTTTGTTTGGTCTCAAACTAAGTTAGAAAGAAGTGTTTTGAAATGCGAATGCCCAGAAGGATAATATATCATTGTACTTTGTTTAGACAAGATGCTTTGGTGAAGCAGGTTATTATCAATTTAACCAGAGTGAAAGTCACTCAGCAATTGTCCAATTTATTCCCCAGATTTCAGGAAATGTTGGACATTCAAGAATGAGTGCAGCATGTCTGTATCAAATCGATGTTTTAAAAAAAAAATATATATATATATATCAAAGCTTCCCAAACACTTGCTTAAAATCCACCCAGGTCTATTATTGCAGCAAAAAGCAAATGTGAGATTTAAGGAATCACTGAAGCCCGTTTGTACTTCTGATGCTCTTCTGAAATTGGCAAGACATTCCATTTTCAATTTGAGCTTTAGATTGCTAAAATAAATAAAAGGTTAAAATTATGGTGGCTAATCTACCTTTATTTCTTGGCACTTTAGTTTTGAAATTAGAACAGAATATTCCAACTGTAACTTTGATGACCATTTTTGACAAGGATTGTCAATGGTCAGATCACCTAAATGGGAGATGGTTGTATTTGAAGTTTAATGGCAAGACTCTAATAATAATTAGTG